GGTGGAGATTGAAGTGAGCCGAGATTGCACCACTGCACTCCAGTCTGGGTGACAGAGCAAGAGTCGGTCTCAAAAGAAAAAAAAAGAAAAAAATTGCTTATGACACATGTTAAAGGCAGGAAAGATGACTTTATTCAAGGGAGGCTCTGCAATGGGGTCTTATAGTGGAGAGAGGGGATCAGTCTCTACTCTGAATATGGAAAGGAAAAGTAGAGACTTGTAGCTAAGGGGAACAGTCAGGCTTTGATGGATGGAATATCCACCTACCTAAGAGCAGGGTAATATTTTGCTAAACTGACCTAACAGAATTTTTGTTGAAGGCAGGCCAGGGTGATAAGATATCATATAGAGGGCAGTCAGATTTACCCTAAACTGACTTAGCGAGATTTTTGCCAAAAGTGAAATAAGCCAACCATGGACACAACCCAAGATCCAAAGCCTAGTCAGAAAGACACTGGGGGAACTTAACTAGCATTAGATCAAGGAGAGGGTCTTTGTCAAGAATCTTCTTGAATAACGGGAAAAACAGCTCTAACCGTTGTGCATTTATATATTAATGATAAAACGACAAGTTTTTCCTGGGTTTGCAATTCATGAAAGTGGTTCGTAATCATTATATTTAAAAAAAAAAGAAAACTTCTGCAGCAGGAAAAACAAAATTATTCTATTAAGTATTGATTAGAAATGTTCCAGCTTTTAAAATAATTTTTTTTTAAGAAAAAAACTTAGTTAACTGCTGTTTCATTTATATTTACTGATATACTTTTGAATCTGGCCTGCACATAGTTTTATTATTCAAGTAATTATCTAAACAATATTTCCCAACTTTGAAACTAATTCTAATGTGAGAGATTTTAGCGCTTATTTCACAGCTGAGAAAAACCCACCAGTTAAATTGGCATAAGAATTATTATCTTTTCTTTGTGGGGAATTTGAAAATAGAGTATAGGATAAGCAAAACAGTGTAAGCCTTGAATCTCTTCTTCTTGCTGAAGAACTCTAGTCACAGAGTATTTGGTACTGAAAAAAAATTCTTTATTTAAAAGGTACAATATTTACTTCAACTGTTTTCCTTTTGAAAGAGAGTCTTTTGCATTTGGATTTTATTTGTGTATATATGCATCTATTGTAAACACAGGCACACAATTCTCTATATAGTCTACATAGCTCTGTATATACTGCATCTTTTCAATAAGTATAAGGCTTTGAGGAAAGACTGCACTGTGGGTTACCATATATTTAAGGCAGGAAGGAAGAGGCGGGAAAGGGCAGACTATGAAATGGAGCCAGGAATGCAGGTAGGGCTCAAAATGCACACAAGGAAGTCCTATACACTCCGCAAAGAAGAGAGGGTCCCCATTTCACCCTAATTTTGCAGCAGTCTGCAAATAGAGTGAAATTGGATGAGGTACATGAGTCACAGTGTCATAAAATGAAAGCAGAACAACTGCACTGGCAGAAATCTGGGTTTGGTTTCTGAAGTCATTCACTTTGGTTGAATATCCTCACCTCATGTTAGGCAAGAGCCTGGACTAAGTGATTATTTGGAAGAAACCAAAAAAGTTGTCTTTTCTCTAAAGAATATATCCTCTTAGACTGTGTACGTTTGGAAGGAGAAATCCAGAGGTGTTGAGATTTAAGGGCCCTGTCTAATGACAGTTTTAAAAATTATTTCTCATATAAATAAAATTATATTTATTCAATTATATGAGGGGAGAACTTAAGAATTGTGTTAAACAATGGTACAGATAATATTTAATAATTAATATTATTAAAGTTTAATTTTAGTAAAAAGTTACTAAAATATAATATTTAAATCCACCCTCAATACAGAAGGCTACATATGTAGAAATTCAGGAGATCATAACAACTCTGAAACAAGCAGCAAATTGTTTAATATTCTTAAAATTTAACCCATTTGAAGAGATTAGGAATGGGACAATTTCCAGGCATTCATCTAGCTTTTAGCTTTAGCATAAGATGTGTCTTAGAGTCGAGAGCTGATGTTGAGTGCTACAGCTCTGCCTTCAAGTGTCAGCATGACTCGAGGCCAATCACATTTCTTTTCTTGAAAGATGAGAGAGTATCAAAAGTAGTGCTTACAGGAGCTCTTAGTCATGCCATCACACTGATTCTAATTACAGTGGCATATTATTTTGTCCGTTTGGTAAAATGTTTTTTTAAGAGCTGAGGGCAGGTATAGTAAATATGACCACCAGATGGCAGCAGTGCACTCTGGAGAAATGGATCCAGGACGTTCCCTTTTCTGTTTTCCACTCACTAAACTCTCCACTAGGTGACAGCAGCATGAATGTAATTGGAATGGCCATTAATGGATTAGGTTAAAAACAACTTTAATCTCTTTTGAGTCTGGGACGGGCACTTTTAAAAAGTATGCACAGTTGGAACCTTTTTTAAAAGAAAATTTAATATACCATTTGCTTTCAGGCCTCCCACACACTCACCTAATATACAAAAACAAAACAAAAATACAAAAGAGAATGTTTGGGGGGCGAGGGGCGGTTTACAAAAACCTGGGGCAGATTATTGTTTGAAACTAAATTATTATCACTTAAGAATTGGTGGAGCCGGATGTTCTCACTTAATTTAGGAAAAAATATTACTAAAATAGTTAGTGTTAAAGATAATAATTATTATTTATTGACTGTTATGTGCCAAAGATTGTATTTAAATACTTTAGAAACATTAGTTCATTGAATCTGGATGAGAGCCTCACAAAAAAGCAGATTTCAACGTAAGCCTATTCAGGACCATTGCCTCTGTATTTCCCATGACCTTATGCTCTTTCTGCTCCGTTTTCACATAAACCCATATTGTAGAAGGCGAAACTGGAACTTCTTTTAATGTATTATTTTGAGTATAAACAGAGATATATTCTCTTTATTTATAAATTGCCCTCGTGTAGATGCATAACATTAATTCAATGCAAGACAATAATACATTTTGATTCTACAGTTACATTGAAAGCTAAAAATGAAGATTGGTTTGGGAGCAATAGGAAAGCAATAAACTCATTTATGATGAAACATACATGACTGATAGTATATAAATAAGAATAGAAGAGGGATAGGGAGACTAGAAGATACTAGGTGCTTGACCAAAATTGACTAGGCAGAAGAGAAAGGTAATGAGATGGGGGCAGAGGAGACCAGGAATTCAGGTAAGCAGCCTTTACACTTTTATGGTTACTCTTGCTTATTGCCTTTAGAAAGCCTTACACATGCTTAATCCTAGGCAGCCACATGTAACCTGATGCAGCACAGATGTTTTCCATGTGTGGCAGAGACCCGTGCATGTTTTGAATCCCTTAGAGGTAAACTTTGGGCAGGTAAGCTTTGAAGGCAGAGTAATAGCAAGTAATACCTATGTCCACAGTGAGAGTGATAAAGTCCCTGAGACTTTATTTCTTGTAATTCAGTTTTAAATTTCTCTTGCAATTCAGTTTTAAATTGGACTAAACCATTTTTTCTACACAGCAACTTTATTGTCCAGTAAAATTGTCTTTTTTTTTTTTTTTTTTTNTTTTTTGAGATGGAGTCTTGCTCTGTTGCCTAGGCTGGAGTAGTGCAGTGGTGAAATCTCAGCTCACTGCAATCTCTGCTTCCCGGGTTCAAGGGATTCTCCTGCCCTAGATGGGACTACAGGCGCTCGCCACTACGCCTGGCTAACTTTTGTATTTTCAGTAGAGAGGGGGTTTCACTATGTTGGCCAGGCTGATCTTGAACTCCTGATCTCATGATCTGCCCACCCTGTCCTCCCAAAGTGCTGGGATTACAGGCATGAGCTACCATGCCCAGTGAAAACTGTCTTTTACTGTACTTTATTTCAAGCATCTTTAAGACAAATACAACAAAATGATATGGTAATATCAAAGGACAAAGATCTGACTTTAGGCTCATGGGAAGAAGAGAAAGTCCCTCTTTTGTTTCTTGTGTAAGATAGACTTTGGCTGGGGTGTTTTAAGATGAGAAAGAAGCGGGAATGAGGGCTTAGGAAAGGATGTTCTAGAAGGAAAGAAAGAGTGGTGACTTGATTCCCCATCTGTGTCCAGTACCATGTCCCCAGTATCTGCAGGCAATGGAAGGTAAGCTCAGGTTGTCAATTAGCTAGCACAAATTAATAATAACAACTGCCTTTAACTAAAGACTCCTTAATAAGAGTCAGATACTGTTCATACCTGTTTTGTATTTGGTCCTTTGGCCAGCCCTGTTGGGCAGGCAGTATCATTCCTTCTCTGAGATAAGAACTTGCCAGAGTCTGCTAGCAAGTAGCAGTTAGGCTTTACACCATGTTCTCTTAGAAGTATTCCCTCTGCTTTCCTAGGGACCCCCAACCTAGACCATGGTTGGCAATATATACACATTGACTGCCACAGAGGTCACAGTAGCCAATTTGGATAAATTGGATCTAAACGTAATTAATTATGTAACTATGGCCTGTGCAACTTTAATTCTATTAAAGTTGCAGCATGAAATTGGGGCAATATAGATGATTACTGGGGAAATAAGAATAGATTTCAGTAAGATATTTCCCTCCTTCCTTTTTTCTGACTTAAACAGAAATATAAGAAAATAAAACAGGGAGTGAATCTAACTCAGTTGGCAGCACAACCAGATTTTTGCCAGCTACCCAGCAGTTGGTAAAAAAAAAAAAAAAAATTATCAGCTCAAACTTTTCTGATGATTACAGGAGGATGAGGTAGTAAAGAGTTAACAGTATTTTTAAAACACGGTTAATAAAGTTTAAATATGAAACCAAAGCTGCTGACGATTTTTGATACTGTTTTGCTCTCTATACAGATATTTAATTTGGGTTGTATATAGTGACTGTTCTGTGACTGTGGTCCTCAGAATTCCTGCTTCCTAAAGGACAAAGCTCAGGCTGGAAGTCGTACAAAGCTTTTATAGAACAAAGTAGAGAAGCCATCATACCACACGTGACATTAACATTCTCCAAGACAATTACATTTAATAGTACAATCAACAATCCATTCATACTGCATGTACATGGTTTTGTTGTTGTTGTTATTTTTGGGGGAAGCTGCAAATGTTTATCTAGAAAAAATTTTAGGAAATTTAAAATAGCTCTGACTGTGACAGTTTCCTCAGGTGAAAAAGGTAATAATAGTCACTATGGTAACCAAGATGGAGGTAATGACAAGTAAAATCAGACCCATACGACAGAATTTTGATTGCTTCTCTTGTTTCTCTTCCTTTTTCAATAAAGTGTCAAAACCTGGGGTGTACATGTCTCCCAACCAAAACCGCAGGTCATTAGGATTTTCCTAAAAGAAAATTACATGAAGAATATGATTAATCAGTAATCAGTCAGTGTTACAAATTAATTGAGATTGCAGAACAAGACACTGTCATGGGGACTGAAGGTCCATATTCACTCTGTCCTGGGCAAGGCTTCAATGTCATGGCTCACATGAGCGAGACGAGGCTTCCTTGAATAGCATAAATATGCAGCTACAGTCTCCTGGCTGACAAGGAGTCCCTGCAGTTCCAATTTGTAGGTCTGCATCAGAATTAATTAGGAGGCTTTCGTGATTCTTTAATTAAATTGCTCAAATTGGAGGGTCAGAAACACAATGGTGTTTCTATCATATTGTAGCCAATTTAGTGTTTCTCACATCCTATAAATAGTGCATGTAATTCAGCATAGTAAGTTGAAATCAAGTGAGAATTCTTTGCTTTAGATGAACCTTTGAGGTTTGATTTTTGTCTGCATGGCAGGAATAAACATGCTTGGTGAGGTTTTCAGTAAATCCAGAAGCTGATTTCCATGGAAGTAGCACGACTAAAAATCAGAAGTCTCTTCCATGACTCTTGACCCACTGATTTTCCTTGTAGAGGGCTGCCACGTGTCTGGCATGCAGAAACTGTTTGACCTCCTGAGAAAGGGGCCCATTATATTCTTCCCCATGTCCGCTCTTATTTATTCCCCAATGTCCCTCTTTCTTTCACAGACTTCATCTTTCCTTCCAGTCCCACAGAATTATCAAGTCAACCTGATCTCCTGTACCTGATAAATCACCTGCAAACTCTATTGTCCATATATTTATAAAAATACATTTTTTTCCTTTTACGTCTCTTGCTATGTTTTGTTGCTGTAGATTTGGTGTCTATGCCTTATATGCAACAAATGTACAATGAATACTCAATCTCTGCTTTCACAAATTAACTTAATGCTTCATTATATTTCACCTGCTTTATTGTAATGGCTTACAGTGGATTGCCCACCCTCTCTTTGCCTCTCCAGTCTCAGTAGACTTAAAGTCCACTGAAGTGTGGCACAGCCAGCTTCCTTTATCAGCCTCAGGGGTCAATGAACTAGCTTTGGACTTACAGGGGCACTGCTAGGAGAGGATTGTGCATGCATGTATTAATAGAAAGCGACGATAAATTCTGTCGATGGCAATATGATCCTCCCATTACACTGGTACTAGTTTAAATTGCTTAGTTGTAGAAATGCTAAAATATTAAAATCAAATTTGGATGATTTGTGCAGAAGGATAATGATTTAAAAATCCCCGTCTACCTCACTCTTACCCTTCATTTTATGTCCTAATCAGAGGCCTGCACTTTGTCTGTTAGTTTAATGCCTCTGTTCTCCACTAAGAGCTTCACTAATAGAGACTATCCTGTCTTACATTCTGCTTCTAGCTTTCCTTGGTAATTAAATATGGTTTTCTTTTCTTCTCTGGCTTATAAACTCTTAGCCACTTAGAAAAATGGGAGGGACCACAGGGGCTTGAGTTAATAGCGTACAGTAGTGCCAAGGTTTCAGAAAATAAGTTAGGGGCTCTGTGAGACATAGACAGGAGTGCAGATGAAAGTTGAATTGATGAGGTATAGGAAGAAATTCTAATGAAAACAAAAGTTATAGCTTCCAGAAGCTTCCCTCAGGAAGTTAATGCTGACAAATAACCTCTTGAGGCCTGTAAACAGGACTCAGACCTCAGGGTCCACTGCTTTGGAGAGAGGGAGAGTGCACACAGAGGACTGGGTGGAGGAGGGAGCAGGTCCTGATTCTAGCAAAATATGGCACTCATTGTATTTATGGCCCATCCTTCCTAAACATGACTCATGTAATAGTCCAGCTTAAAAAAATACTCCTTATTCAATTTCCTAAGCGTAACATTCGAACGTTTTTTTAGCTTTATTTCCTAGCCTTATTTTCTCATTATTCTATTACTTGACCTGTAGCTCCTATATTTATACCTTTGCTTTTGCTACTCCTGATAAAAGAGCCTCCCCACTTAGGCAAACCATCTGTATCTTTTGGAATTCTAAACATCCTTCAAGCCCATCATAAGTTTACTTTTCCATGACGTCTTTTTATAATCAAATGTGATTTGTGTCCCTTTTCTATCCTATATGGGACTTTCTTTTCTTTTTAAATTTTCCTCTTTATTTCTTTTCAGTGAAACAAAAACTTCTTTTTATCGTATAAAGTGATAACCATTCTTAATATCAAACTTCTGTTCAAGGTTAATAAAGAAGCACTGAAGTAATAACATGGAATTATCAGAAAACCTGGCTGATGGTGCTGCTGCTGGCAATGGAGATGACGGACTAATTCCACAAAGAAAGAGCAGAAAACCAAATCAGCAATTTCCTAGGACGGAGAATGAAGCATGTTATAGGTAAGCCTATAGCAACTATTAACAGGAGATAATTATGTACTATCAAACTAATCCTAATTTGGGCTAATATTTATAGTGAACAAGTTTTTTTTTTGTTTTGGTTTTTTTTTTTTTTTTTTTTTTTTTTTTTTCGGAGTTTTTTTTTTTTTTTTTTTTTTTACTAGAATATTCAGCCTTGCCTGGTAATCAGAAAAATGAAAATCAGCAAAAATGAGTTACCGTTTTTTCCAATCATTGATAATTTACTTGAAAAATAACCAGTATTGGCAAATGTGAGGGAAAAGGCATTTTCTTTTTTTGTGTGTGAACTTTTATTTTAGGTTCAGGGTTACAGGTATAGGTTTGTTATATGGGTAAAGTATATCATGGGAATTTCGGAGTACTTTTTTTTTCTTTAAGTAAGTTTAAGATACAAGTACAGAATGTGCAGGTTTATTACATAGCTATACATGTGCCTTGGTGGTTCGCTGCACCTATGAACCCGTCACCCATCATCTAGGCTTTAGGCCCGGCCTACATTAGGTATTTGTTTTCTAAATGGACTGGACTCCAAGCCAGCTTTGCCTCCCATCCCTCGCAGGCCCCAGTGTGTGTTGTTCCCCTCCTTGTGTCCATGTGTTCTCACTGTTCAACTCCCACTAATGAGTGAGAACACTGCATGGCACTTTTTGTTACTAGTATCATCACCTTCCTTTATGTTGTTCTATAGTTATTGTCTGTTAATTTGCTTAGTTAGATCAACTTTTTGAGGGTAGAGACAGTAACATCCACCTCTATAGTTCCCTTATTTTGCATGAAACAGCAAAAGGAAGAAGCCTTAACATATGGTCAAGAAATGTTGGTAAAATGAATCATTTTTTTTTTTTCAATAGTAGGGGTGACTTTTTAGATGTCTTTAAGACTCTTGGTAAGGAATGAAAGATTTAAAAAAAGAAAGAAGGGAAAAGAAACACAAGATTATTGTTTCTGCGTAGAGCATCTGTTATGGAAGCTTCTCCGGAAAATAGACTACATACAGGAGTAGATACATTCAATCTAGTGAGAGATTAAGAAACTTCAAAGTTTCTGGACAGTGGGTCTTTTGAGCAGCACCTATTTGAAATTGTAAAAGGTGTGAGTAGGATTCAAGGAGACAGAGTGCTGTCCTCTTCAAAAAAAATAAGAAAGAAAAATTATCTAGTGCTTAAGGTATGGGTCTTAGCACAGATAAACATTTTTAAATGAAGGGTATGTACTTGGACAATGACAGGCCTTCCTGGCCTAGGGCAGGTGGCGACAAGCCAAAGCTGGGTTGGAATCCAGTCCATTCAGAAAACAGAGGGCTGGCTGCTTCCTTGCTTTTCAGGTATTTCAACGTTTTTCATGTGGTGAGGTGACACCAGCAGGGGCAAAAAAAGAAAGAACAACTTTTGTTGGGTTTATGCTGGGTGAATGAGTTCATTGCATACTTTTCCTGTGTTGAAATGTTTTTGTTTTGTTTTGTTACTGAGACACAGGAAAATGACCAAAATGTAAATCTGCAATCTTAAATCACTGAGAGGGCTGAGATAAAATAATCTTTGATGAGAACTTTCTTGCACAGTGCCTAACACAGAACACTTAATACATATTTCAAATAAATGTAGAATAGGGAATCAGCTCTTAAGTCTTCATGAACATAAATGTTCATAAACTACCAGAAAACATCATCTTGCAAATTAATTTTCAAAAAAAACCTTTTACTCTCCTAGAAAACCTTTGTCCTGTGCTACATAATTTTTTTCCTCTCTACACTGTACAGTTGCCAGTAACTATTAAAATTGTAAAACTCAAAAGATATAAACACAGATACTGACTAGGAGTAGGAGGGAGAAAGAAAAGCCAGAGGCCAAAATGCTCTGAAATCTGGAGATTCTGTGCCTAGTGAAGAATAACTGTCACTTCAATAACCCTTTCTCTTAGGATTATTTGATTGATCTCTCTTATCAATTGAAGAGGGTAAGTCTTAGTTGTGAGTACCTTCAGATGTCCAGAGAGGTTTGTGTGCAGGGAACGTTTGTCATATTCCTCAATGGTCCATGATGGGCTCTTTTTCCTTTCTTCCATAGCTTCCTCCAAACTTAGGTCACCACAGAGTGGGTTATTTTTCATAGTTGATGACATGGATGGTGGGGGGCTATCAGCAGTGACAAGGCTCGCTGCATTGGATCCCCTAATTCGTTGAGCAGCAATGTTATTCTTTTCTCTCTAAGAGGCAAAGAAACAAGGCATCTCTTAGCAACAGGCCTTCTGATAATAGGGAATGCAGTGTAAGCTAACTGTACCTGAAAATGTACTGATTTTACACAGAAATCTAACAGATTAGGACAATGAATGAGAAATGGATTCTCGGGTTTTGTTTGACCTAGAAATCCAACATTGATTGAGTTTTTTCTTTGTGTGTGATATTGAACAGCTTTACTAATCACTAATTAAAGTGCTGTTTTATAACTACAAAGAAAGAGCCTACAAATTAAAGAGAGTAAATCTCTTTAATTCAAATAGTACAGTAGAATTCTGAACAAAGCCAACTTTTCTCAGGTTATTAATGACATTTTATTTCTCTATTTTTATATTCCATGACTTATAAAAATAGTATTTAATATTGCTATATTAATCTAGAAAAGTCAAAATTAAAAGACATTTTAGTGATATAGCTGAAGTTTCACAAATACTATCATGGCTCCCATTTCAGACAGCTTTGAGGTCTAAGCCAACTTAGCACTATATGTATAATTTAGTATCTGTGTGTAAAGACTGGCTGTTAGCTCTGTTACTGACTTTCAAGTTTTTAAAATCTTTTTTTATTAAAGTATAATATGCATATATATAAATACATAGCTCTGTACATTCTCGCAAACCAAACAAACTCGAGATTCAACAACCAGACCCAGAAACATGACATTACCAGCACACGTCATGCTCCCTTCCAGTCACTCTCCCTCCCCCTGCCCAAAGCGTAACTATAATAGCACCCAAATTCTAATACCATAGGTTAATTTGGACTCATCTCATATTTTATATAAATAAAATTTTATAATGTGGGCTTTTCTGTTTCTGGCTTGACCTTCAGATTTTTACTTTGTTTTGTTTTTTTCTTAAGTATATCAAGTTTTCATGAAGGTAGAAACTGAAAATTTGTTCATTTTGGAAATTAAAGTTTGTTCCTTGGTCAAATACAAATTGAGAAGAATAAAAAAGCTTATAGAGTCATGCTTCATTTGTCGTAGGGAATCAAGAGAGGAATTTCACATGAGTTAATTTCATATAATATTTAGTCTTTGAAAACAAGTGGCTCATTTCCTTAATTTACAGATATTTTTCAGTAAATGTATGTCACATATTTCAGATACCCAAAATAGAGAATATTTAATAGCAGTTTTATTCTTCTGAGCCATATTTATGATTATCGATACTCTGATGCTGACATTTATTGTTGTATATAGGCAACATTAATTTATATTATATAAGCTAAAGTTGTAAACTGTTATATGTAGTTTCCTTCTGAAACAACTGGCAGGAAAAAAAAATCATGTAGATAAAACCATTCACATTCTCTTTGGTGTTGGGTTTCCCTAATTTTCTTAATCCGTTCATTTTTCAAATACTTAGAGCTCAACTTTCAGATCCTCTCTGACTTTCATAAGTCCTTGGACAGCTCAAAGTCAATTTATATTCTATAAAACTGAAGTTTGCAATAAAATAATTACTCTTCTTAGCTTAGCATTTATCTTAAAGATGGATTGCTTCAAAAGTAATGTTTCTCAATTGAGCAAAAAATAATTTGATAAGAAATTTATGAGCTTAGCATAATTTTTACTTAATTTGTTTTCTTCAAGGCTAGAGATCTTTGATCATCTCTGAAGAGGGATAATTCTCCTGACATTGACAAATTGACTTTGTCAGGTTGTCTTTACACTGTTGCTTAAGTTTCTTAAATAAGAAAGCTCTGTAAATGAAAATACAGTTTTGGGGAGGTCAAGAAGAAAACATTACACATTCTATTACAATGTATATAGACTTAGAAAATGTAATGTATAAAAATAGCAAAATACTCAGAGATACATTCTAAAAGAACATGCAAACCCTTATCTCTATATGATATTTTTGAAAGTTGTGATGTTTATTATAGCACATAGTAATATATATTTTTGCACTGCATGTGAATTTTATGTCTGAAAGACATGCAAAGGAAAATTAGTATTATAAATTTATTATGAATTTAATCATGAAATAGGCAATACTATTCAATACTATATGGTTGAGCTTTATTTGTATCTTGATGATGTTTTTTAACATAGCTTTAAGAACATCAACAACACAAAACCCTTCACTCTACTGCACAAGAAAATACATTTACCAGAAGAAAACTCAACAGTAATTCAATTATTTTAATTACGTGGCCACTAAAATAAATTACATTTTTAAATATTTATTTCAAAAAGGTAACACTTCAAAGCTTACCCAGACTTTTCGTTAAGCATACCTTTGTCCATTTATCATTTATGCACATTTTAATCATTACACACTTTATGTGAAGTAAACTATAATTCAATAAAGAGAGTGAGATAGAAGGCATATTTGGGCAAAGAAAATTAAGTGTACACATTTAATAGGTCATTGTAAAAACTCTAAAAATGTATTTCAGGAAGAAAAAGTTGATAACAGAAGGAAAATATTAAGATACAAGAGAAATGTTGTGAGAGAGAAAGAAAGAGAAAAATAAAAAATTGATAAATGTGTCTGTAAATCCAGGCAAGCATTGATTTAGGTGAAATAGAGATAATAATAATTGCTAAATTGTTAATTTTAAAATAAGAGAAATGAGAACACTGGAGTGTCATAAGTTTAACACAGATTTTTTTATTAGAAAATTTTAAGAAATAATTTCAGTGACGAGATAGAGATATTACTAACAAGTAGAGAAAGAATTTACAGATTCTAAGTGAGCAGAGCAGTAAGAAAAAAAATGAAGAATAAACAATCTGTAAAAAGACTACAAATAACACAGGTAGAAAATCTCAGAAACAGAAAAATAATTATAATAATCACATTTAATGTAAATGGACTAAATTCCCTATTGAAATGACAGAGATTATCAGATCAGATTTTAAAAAGTGAATTAAATTATAAAATATTTACAACAGACATGCCTAAAATATAAAGACTAAGAAAGAATTCAAGTTAAAAAATATGAAAGTATATGCTAGACGAATATAAGCAATGAGAACTGGGTGTTGTGACTGACTAAATGCTCACTAATTTTGTTTCCACTTCCTAAGCACAAAGGATATCTGCTTTTCCCAGACTGTTTTTGAATTTATATTGGGGCCACATGTTTTATGTACAATGGCATGTGGATGAAAGATCACTTCCAAGCCTGGTCCCTGAAATCTTTTACAAGTTTTTGGTTCACTTTCTTTTTTTGTGACACTATACACATTTCAGAACTCTTGTCAATGTGCTGTATATAGCAGAAGATGATTATACATATATGATGATATGTATATATTAGGTGATCCATATGGCATGTATAATATATTCATATACTATTATATATAAATATACATATATGTATGTGTATATATATATGTGTGTATATACATATATGTGTATATGTGTTTTTTGTTGTTGTTAACAGAAGACTGTGGTAAATCCTTACTAGATGCTCAGCAAACTTAATAAAATTCAACCTTGATGGGTAAAATTCCTGGCAAGATCCTTGGCTTACCCTTTCCCTTTCTTATCTAAAGCCTAATAGAGATCTGATACTGTAAACCCCAAGAAGGAAGGAGCTTGGATTCTACTTGGAAGTGAGTTTCTAAGACATCTATAATATCTACATTGGACTTTGTGTGAAGGAGACATATGTTTTATTAAGTTACTAAACATTTTGATATATTTGTTTCCATGACATAACTTAGCTTGACTAACCACCAAGAAAACAAAAATACACCTCCCCACTCCTGCCAGCACACACATATTAGATGAAATAGACAAGGTCAAAAACTTTGCTAGATATAAAGAATGTTCCTAGAAAATGAATAAAGCTAGTTATCATCAGTAAAGTACTATCATTCTTAACTTGTATCTATCTAATAAAATAGTCTCAAAATAGAACTTAAAATAATTACAAGGAGAAATTTATACATGTAATTTTTCTCAAGCATGCAAAACAATCATTAAGAATAAAGAATCTGGTTGAGATGGAGACTATTATTCTAAGTGAAGTAACTCAGGAATGGAAAACCAAGCATTGTATGGTCTCACTGATATGTGGGAGCTAAGCTATGAGGACACAAAGGCATAAGAATAATGCAGTGAAACGATGGGGTCTTCTAGATATACAATCATGTCGTCTGCAAATAGAGACAATTTGACTTCCTCCTTCCCTATTTGAATACCCTTTATTTCTTTTTCTTGCCTGATTGCTCTGGCTAGAACTTCTAGTACTATATTGAATAGGAGTGGTGATAGAGGGCATCCTTGTCTAGTGCCACATTTCAAGGGGAATGCTTCCAGTTTTTGCCCATTCAGTATTATATTGGCTGTTGGTTTGTAGTAAATAGCTTTTATTATTTTGAGATACGTTCCATCAATACCTAGCTTATTGAGGTTTTTTAGCATAAAGGGCTGTTGAATTTTGTCAAAGGCCTTCTCTGCATCAATTGAGATAGTCATGTGGTTTTTGTCTTTGGTTCTGTTTATGTGGTGAATTACGTTTATAGACTTGC